TCTCTCATTGGGTGTTAACCCTCTGTTGGAAGTACAGATGAAAATGGCACCTGAGCTTCCAGTTCTTTTGCCCTCCTGCCCAATTGCTCATAGTCCCTTGATATGTTTTTTAGGCTCTTCTTTGTTGTATCATTGGTCCCGACATGAAAGAGAAGGAGGGGATAATAACCAGTGGGCTTGATAATTTGGGTAAGCCTCTCTGTCTTTAATCTTTGCTCCTGGGAGACAACATACTTCCCTTGAAAGCTTGTCTGGCCTGCAGATTGCCGATTCTGTTCCTCTAAGAAGCAAGTCACCAATTACCACCACATGTCTTTTTGGGATACCCGACAGGCTCCTCTTCCCTGTAGCAATCTGGGCTGCTTTTCATCCTGTCACTGGAACACTTGATGAAGATTCATCTTTGGATGTCTGCACGTCTTCTTCCAGGGGGAGAACATGAAATCAGCTGTTCAGTTCTGACTGGAGTTCCCAGGTTCATCCTTTTGGTAGACAGGGACAACAATCTTTCTTCTCCAATCGTCTGACACCTCACCCGTTTCCATTGATTTCAAGAAAATAATTTCTTTTGCCCTCCTGCCCAATTGCTCATAGTCCCTTGATATGTTTTTTAGGCTCTTCTTTGTTGTATCATTGGTCCCGACATGAAAGAGAAGGAGGGGATAATAACCAGTGGGCTTGATAATTTGGGTAAGCCTCTCTGTCTTTAATCTTTGCTCCTGGGAGACAACATACTTCCCTTGAAAGCTTGTCTGGCCTGCAGATTGCCGATTCTGTTCCTCTAAGAAGCAAGTCACCAATTACCACCACATGTCTTTTTGGGATACCCGACAGGCTCCTCTTCCCTGTAGCAATCTGGGCTGCTTTTCATCCTGTCACTGGAACACTTGATGAAGATTCATCTTTGGATGTCTGCACGTCTTCTTCCAGGGGGAGAACATGAAATGAGCTGTTCAGTTCTGACTGGAGTTCCCAGGTTCATCCTTTTGGTAGACAGGGACAACAGTCTTTCTCCTCCAATCGTCTGACACCTCACCGGTTTCCCATGATTTCAAGAAAATAATGGACAGTGGTTCTGAGAGTTTTTCAGCCCGTTCTTTCAATACTCTTGGATGCAGTTTATCCAACCCTGAGATTTGAACTTGTTCAAAGTAGTGAGGTATTCTTTGACTATTTGTTTACCAATCTCCAGATGCAATCCTGCCCCCTCCACTTGCACTTCACATTTGTCTGGAGGTTCACAGTCTGGAACAACCTATCTCTTCCCAACGCTTCTCCAAGTGGATCTCCGTCACCTTGGTGTATAACTTGGCAAACAAGCTCCCTCTTCGGCCCTTCCACAGCCCTCTACCAGGGGAATCTCCTCACTTACTGCCTTTATATGCAGTTTAGACATCCAGGAAATCTGTTGGGCATCCACTGGTCCAAGCCCTTGACATTTGTCATACTCTATAAGCTAGACCTCAGGGTGCAGAAACATTCTGCTTTTGATAGACCTGTGCTATCCTCTGTTCTGGCATATCTCCCAACTCCAAAACTAGTGCTTGCTAGTCACTCCCATGTGTGCATACATGGGCACCATGATGAAGAAGACTTGGTTACTTACATAACTATGATTTTTCAAGTGGTGATCCATGTGTCCACGCATCCTGCCCACCTCTCCTCCCCTTCCTTTTTCTTCTAGCAGAGGATAGTTAGGGACTGAGGAGAGCAGGGTCACACCTGCATGTTATAGGCAGAGAAGCACATACATTTTGAGGCTCTGGAACTTTCTGAAGTGGGGTTTGTGCAGGTACAGAACCCCTATGTGTAGATACATGGCTCACCACTTGAAGAACCATAGTTATGCAAGTAACCAAGTCTTTCCCCCATTCCAGGATTGGTATGAACCTGCCACTGCCATGGCTTCTATATACTCTTAAATGCTTTTCAGACTTTTAAATATTCAGCTTCCTAACAGTTTAGATGCTGTGTTTTGCTTGATCTCTCAGGTGAGTGAGCAAGCTGCTTTCGGAGATGTGCTAGATGGAGGTTTGGACCCTAATCTTGTTAAGCTCCACAGTCATTCCCTATCAAGTAGGAGATGAAGGGAGAAACAAGGGGGCAGAACAACCCCCCTCTGCATGTCAAAGGCTTCCTAGAAGTGCTTAAAAAACTTTGAGCTGGTTAATGCCTGCAGGGGGGAAGCCCAACCCTACCCACCAAATATGAGGGGGGAAAATCAATAATCTTGTTATTATAAAAGTAGTCACTATGTCCAAATAGCATAGTTAACCCCAGTTTGTAGCAATTAGTTAAGGATAAAGAGCAAAGAACAATTGTGTAGATGCAGTAATAGTCTTGTCACAGCAACAGCAGCAAGAGTTCAATAGAGAAGTTATGGGTATTGTGTTAATGAGCTTTAAATTTTTTACATTTCTCTTGCTATACTTGAATCACGTTTTCTTGTTCTGCTGAAAATGACCCAAAGCTACTGAGAATTAAGAAATTTAAGATAGCACAGGATGCTTTCTCTGAATTGAGTTATGAGTTGCTTCATGCACCAAAACTACATTCATTCACTCATTGCTTCTATTAATAACTCTAGGTAGCCTTTCAACCAGAAAGTTTCCAAAACAATTTAAAAAAACAAAATTCACTGAGAAGCTCCAGCCTCAGGTTATAAAACTTACAAGAACAATTGGTGACATAAAAGAGTTAAACTATCACTTAGTGAAATAACCCCGTGAAATATCATAATAACACAAGACCACAAAGTAATTGTCTTGGACCAAATGGCCAAGAGAAGAAAACACCCTTCACCAAGAGTTGAAAAACCTGCAGTTTAAGAATCTCAAGAACCTCCAGTGGGATAACCTTGGCTGAAAAGGGTCTGCCCCATGATTGCTGTTACGTGTTCTCAAGTCACCTTTGACCCATGACAACCCGGTGAATGAGCAGTCTCCAGAATGGCCTGCCCTCAGCTGCCCTACTTGTAAACTCACGTGTCTGTGCGTTCCTTTAGGGAATCAGTCCATCTCCTATTTGGTCATTTTCTTTTCCTGCTGCCTTCCACCTTTTCCAGCATTATTGTCTTTTCCAGAGAATCTCTTTTCTCAAGATGTACCCAAAGTACAACAGGCTCAGCTTAAACATTTGTTGCCTCCAGAGATTGTTCAGGCTTGATTTGATCCAGCTGTCTTTCTGGCAGTCCAGGGTATGTGCAAAGTTCTTCTCCCTCACCACATTTCAAATTAATGTATTCATTAATACATTGGTGATTATTACAAACAAAGTGTGCTGCTTATATACCGCCCCATAGCGCTTCAAGCACTCTCTGGGCAGTTTACAAGTTAATTGTGCAGACCTTCCCACGATGTCATCCAATCAGAGTTCGTTACTAGGCAAACAGTCCTGTTGCACCACATGACTTCTTTCTCATACGCACCAGATGTTATTTGGGTTACGGTGGTTTATCAAAGAGTCACAACAATTCCCATCTATCTAATCACACCGAGTCCTTTCTCAGGCTTTCAGAATAACATTCTCTCTGCTCGTCTGGAAAACAACTTGTCAGCATAGCAAAGATACTTTATACAAAGAAACAAGATGGAACCTCTCTGGCTTATTTCTTAATTACAAAACCCATATGCCTTAAAAGATTTTAACTCAAAAACCCATCTCATCACAGTGAGCACAGTTTTAGCTGCAGTACAGCGGTTTAACCACTGCGCCACGAGGCTCATACATTGGCAATACTTACTGCTAAAGCAGTCTTGTATTTAGCAATTAACCAGGTTGCTGTCGATGACTTGAGACTCTATACCAAACCTGGGCAAAGTGCGGCCACATACAGCCCACGAGCTGCTCCTGTCCGGCCCATCGGACATCAAAACCATTTATGCCTTGTTGTCTAAAGTCGATCAGTTGCTTATCTTTAACATACCGCAAAAAAATCTTTAGTATTTGTGAAGATTAACAAGTTTAAAATAAAAACAATCATAACATCACTGTTTCATTTTATTTTTAAGTAAAGTTCAGCCCCCAAACACAGTTCAGATTTTTCATGTGGCCCCCCTATAGAAATTAATTGCCCACCCCTGCTCTGTAAAGTTAGATGCATGAACTGGAAAAGAGGAGACAGATTTCAACACTTCTTCTCCAACAATTTGAGTTTGTTTCTTGTTGCCTCTCAAGGAAGAGAAGCCCATCTGTTTCTTCCAGGAGCCATGGAATGCTTATGGATTGTCGGAAAGTGGGACAGAGAATCAGGATGGGGAGGAGTGGAATAGAGCATCTAGGAAAGCCCTTCAAACTTTGAGCCCCAACAGCTAGTCTGTTGTTAATAAATTTGGGGGTGAAACTACCATTTTTATTTAGTTCTGCAGTTTTAAACAACATCTTGCTTACACACAAATCTATGAATAAACATATGTACAATTATTATTATATGTAGTGTCCTAATTCCATGTCAAAATAGCACTCTCTGGTTCTGAATACATTTGTTGTCCTCATACAAATGGGTTGCTCATCACATTTAATTCACCAAGTTGTCTCAATCTCTAAATGCTTTGGCATGTCCCTGCTTTAGTAATCCTTCAGTGATGCGCAAATATATTGGAGCAGGGTGTATCCTGGATGTGCTTTCAGTAAGAGGTAGCAGGAATGATTTGACTCATGAGCACTATTGACTGACTGTTCCCCTTTGTTGTGCAATATGAATCTAATGGCAAATATGTGTACCTATCCAAGCAAGAGCTTCAGAAGAGAAATTCACAGCATCACTTAAAATATTGCATCAAGCAATGTTATAGTAATAACATAGTGACTATACTGTTACATTGAACACCTGCAAGGCCACACTCACTATACATCTGCAATGGAATCTCTTTGTAGTTCAAAACAATAGGTTTTCTGAGCTGGGCACTTAAACCAGTAGTTGAGGCCACATTCTGCAGCAGCAAGAATAATTTTTTTCTAGCAACTTCTGACAATATCCTTCCTCTCCCCTCTTTCCACAGGATGGTTATTTTTCTCACAGGCCAAAGGAGAAAATGCGAACGGACAGCAATAATGAAAACTCTGTTCCCAAGGACTTTGAAAATATCGACAATAGTAACTTTGCACCCGGGATGCAAAGGCAAAAACACCTGCCAGAGTTGGTGAAGAAGCCCACGAGCAAACAGAAGGAACACTTGAGAAGGAAAGTGGAACAGGAAGAAAAGATGAAGGAGAACCCTCTCCTTGGGAAGAACTCCAACGAGGCCCTGCATTACGGTAACCCGACCGCAAAGAACAGCAGCAACAGCAGCCATTTGAAAGACATCCACTGGTCTCCCAGGCAGCACCATCTGAAAAAGAGTGGAAATGGCTCTCCTGAGCTTGGTTACGAACAGCTGCCGAAATGTGAGATATCGGGCAAGGAGGCCATATCTGCTGTGTCCAGGGCCAAGTCAAAGCAGTGCCGGCAGGAGATTGCCGAGGTGTATTGCCAACACAAGGAAGGCAAGCTTATGCCAGAGGAGGTGACTCGTTTCTGCCCGCTGGAAGGTAGGTCTGGCAAAGGGGCAGGGGAGGAGTGGTGGAGGAGGTCCATGCACTTCTTTCCTTCCTTTTCTGCCTTCTGACCAAAACACTACACACTTGATCTTAGCCAAAAGGACAAGAAGCCTTCTGATCAAAACAAGCCTTTGCCTAAAGCTGGAGAATTGCAGGTCCCATTCTAAATCTTCATAGGTCAGGTTTGCAAGGGATGGTGGGAACTGGAAGCCAAAAAGAGTTGCAGTACCACAGATTTCCATTAAAATGGCTTGAATAAATGTGTGAGAGTCGGCGGTTTAGTTTCATGGATGAAATGTGTGCGTGAAAGGAGAAGCTAAGGATAGTTCTGAGACAAGGGAGCAATTATGTCCCTCCAGATTTCATTTATTCGTTCATTTGCGTTATTTATATCCCAACCTTCTTCAGGCAGCCTATAAGTGCTAACATGTAGGCGTGTGTAAAATCACAGTTATTTAATATTTGAATACAATTAAACTTGTGGTAAAGTTAAAAGGTACAACATCAACATCACAAATGTGTCATAATGAAAACTATGCTGCATCCCCGACTAAAACCTGCAATCTTGCCAGGACAGTCCCAGATTAAAAGCAGATTTAAGCAGATAGGTTTTCACCTACCAGTGAAGAGGCAGCCCACCTAGCCTCATGTTTTTGGACCACAAATGTCAGAATCTCTACCAGTTGGCAAACCGGGCTACGGCTGATTTGACTTGTAGGTTAAAAAAAAAAAAACACTGAGAGCCACAGCTGCCCAGCTGATTCTGAGGGACAGGAAAATAAGTGCATTTCTGTTCCCCCACAAACCTTTTAACAAGATGTTTCTTTGTTAGCAAGCAAAGAACATTCTGTTTTCCTACATGCAGATGGGAATGAGATATCTACAATTTTTATTTGCGTTATAATAATAATAACGCTGTATTTTTTTTAAAGGTCCCAGCTAGGGGCACATATTGAATCAATTAAATGTTTTTAATTAATATACTGAATATCATAATTATAGTTTATAGTCTTATAATTAATATTGTTATCTCTTGGGATGAGTGGAAGGGATTCATTTAAAAGAGCCCACTTCTCTCTTGGTTTGCTACAACTTTTGAAAACTAGTTTTTAAAGGAGAGCCATATTACTTTTCTGCAAGCTGGGAAAGCAAAACTGCCAACTATTTCTCGGAGTCCCTGGTATGAAAAAAGGAGGAGAGAGCTGGGAGATTTCATCCCACTGTACATTCAGTCTAGATGCTGCTGGACTGCTGTTATCAACCACGTTCACCACTAGATGTCCTGGTTATTGGGGTTTAGTCCAACAACATTTGCTGTCCAGTACTTTTTACCCCCTTCCACTCCCTTGTGTCCTGCTAGCTGCCAGGAGTGCAGAGGGTAAAGCGACTGAGTCCTGTTGCCAGAGTGTCTCCTTTGATTATCCTTGTACTTTATGGTCTCTGTTTTGTGCTCCTCATTTTGTTAGGGAGTAACCTTCTTGATCAGTTTCAGCTGTCTGCTCCTTCATAGGGACTGAAGCTTGGAAAAGGTGCTTTTCAAGTTACAACTAGACTTTCTCCACGTATACTGGCTGAGAATTTGTGGTCATTTGTAGTCTCCAAACAGTAGCTTTTTCAAGCTTTGACATAGGCATTACTAATTGTTTCTTCAGCTAATTGCCCCAGACCTGGGAAGGATTGTTGTCTTTGGGCCTTTTAAACAAATTTTTGTGAAAATTTTAACAGGTCAGATAGTTGGCTAGACTGAATTGTTTTTCCCTAAATGTGCTCGCTTTCCTTATATAGAAATATTTTGATGTGTGCGGACCAAGTGCAATGTACCACTGGCTTTCTGAAATATTGTTATCACAGGAGATGCAAGCCTTGTTGACCCAGCCTTATTCCAGCATCTGGACTAAAATTCCCATCACCCTCACCAGTATACGTAGCTGGTGCTGGCTGAGAATTATGAGTACAACATATTTGAAGAGAGACAGGCTGCAGCAAGTTGCTGTAAACAAAATAAAACAAAGCCCAAACTGATGTACGGTATATTGTAAATCATTTTCTGCCATGTTCTGGGACACAAAATCTGTTTTCTGAGCCCTGAAACTTGTATGTTACAGTTCACCAGTTAATGTCATCATAGTAGCAGATAAATAGTTAAAGAATAGCATCTCATGGAAACCAGGATTTAATATATAGATCATTTTATAAGTGAAACATCAGGTACAGGACAGAACAAACTGACATCATGATTGCTTTAAAAATGAAAGAGAACAGTCTGCTTTAATTATCCAGAAAGAAAAATATATTGCAGTATTTCTTCCAATTAAATTGAATGAAACTCATATGGAGATAATTCTGCTGTACTCTGTGGACCCTTTAAAATACCTGGAAGTCGAAGCTTCAAGCAGCAATTACTTCAGCATCTTGAATACCCTTCCTACAGTTGTTTATTGTTGCTGTCTTGTAAGCCATGACTACAATTCCTAATAAGCTTTAAAACAATGCTGTTGTTGTTTAAAGGTCCCTATTGAGAAGGCCTGATGGTTGGTTAATAATACATTTCTGCAGCCTGGAAAGAAAGACAGGAAAGATACCCCTCGAGGCACTTGGCAATTGCAGATCCACGTCTGCTTATGTATCCGTTAGTAATAGATACCCCTCGAGGCACTTGGCAATTGCAGATCCACCTCAAAACGTCTGCTTATGTGTCCGTTAGTAATCTGTCCTCCAGGCTTCTCCTTGACTGTTTGCTGCACTCTGAGATGTCTGTAAGGAAGCTGAGCATTGCCTATGAATCTGTGGTTAATAGCTGCGAAAAGTTGTGCATATAGGTTATAAACACAGTAGAGAGAAGAAATTGGAGGCGACTTGATGTCACAACATCAACAAGAAAAGAGAAAAGTTGTTGCTCTGAGATCTCCATTTTGCTAGTAGGCTCGCCTGCTTTATGAGGCCCTGTAATGATATTAGGAGGAATCTTTCATGAGGAAAGGTTATACTGTATTTCTCTAGGAGTCTTTGACAGAGGAGAGAGCACCCACACCTTGAATAACATCTCTCTCATTCACATGGCTGGGATTCCTGCACAAACGGAGTTTTCCGCAGATTTGTCTTGATGTTTCTGTGCAAGCGTTCTGTACAACTCTGGCACCCTCCAGATACTTTGCAGCCAGGATAGAAGAGTTGCTAGCCATGACTCTTTGCAGTTGGAGAATGCCTAAACAAATGGATAATCAGGTTCACAGGAACAATAAGCTCCAAAGAGCAGGCTGCAGAAAGAGAAGACATGAGGAAACCTCAAAAGAACACAGGGCAGGGCAGCCTCTGCTATTAGGCAGATGCCTCAGAGAGTTGCCTCAGACAGCAGATGTTGGAAAGTGCCAGCAAGGTATTGAAAGAGAACAGCTGGCCCTTCTGGTGTCACCTCACAGGGGTTGAAAACTGGACCGCCAGTCCAGTCAGCTTTAGTGCATGAAACAGGAAGGATATGCCATCTTGTTCTTTGCTTCACACGAAAGAAGATCCTTTGCAAAACCTGAACGAGGGAGGGCCACATGGAATCCCTAGGGAATTGGTTATAGAGACTGGCCTAAAGCAGCATTTGTTCTGGGATTTTGATTTCATTTACCATTCCATCTGCTGATGGAGGGCTGTTGCCCAGAGTCGGCCCTACCACGAGGCAAAGTCAGGCAAAACCTCTGCCACTGGACATCAACATCAGCTGTTCTTGTTTTATTCCCATGGCCATCCTTTTCCTCTTAGAAGCCCCACGCCTTGGACTATGGCCATCAGTGGGGGTGGAGGATCTAGCCTAGCTGGCAGCCTTGAGGCAGGACTCAGCTGTCCGTCCAAACAGATTCTGTGCATGGAATGAAGGGCTCCATCTCGTCCTTCACTTCAGACAACAAAACCTGTGGGATCTTCCTGACGCTGGTTATGTTTACTTTTACTTCCCCTTTTCTTTGGCATGTGGCCTGCATGCTTTGCATTTTGTTCAGTCTCTCAGGTTAATTGATAGTCCAGAAAAGGAACTCCAACTGGGGATGTAATATTTAAAATTTATTCCTGTTGTCATGCTGATAGCAAATTAACTTTGCTAGGCTCAATCATATGTTCTCAGCAGGCACATATGTAATTAAAAGGAACACACACTGAGTTCACAGTAGCATTGAAATCTGTCTGCTGTAAAAAAAAAGGGTCCATATGTTCCTATGGGATTGGATGCTCAAGCAGTATTAGTGGTATATTGCTAAGTACTTGGCGCTTTTCTGAAAAAGTGGTCTAATCTGCAGCAAAGCTAATTATTTTTCTTCCTTTTTAATAGAAAGAAATAGAAGCGGGCAAAGCGTAGACCTCCAAGTGCTGTCAGAGTACAACTCCCGTTAACCCTAGCCAGAAAGCCCGTGGTGAGGAATGTTAGGAGGTGTAATCCAACAACAACTGCTTAACACCTGCAGCAAATCCAGCTTTAGCCACAACCAGAACAGACCCACTGAATGAACGGGACTTCCTGGCTCAAAATTTATGCAAGCCAGTCCCATTATTTCAGTGAGTCTACTCTAGTCAGAATTGGATGTGGTCTAGAGAGCGTTCAAAAGAGGTTTTGGTGCTGTGATTTCTGATGCAAGTGAAGAAGAGAGAGCTTTAGATCGCAGGCCCCATGAGTTTGAAAGGCAAGAAAAATGTGTCTTATTAATGAGCGGTTAGCCAGCGCACATTGAAGCATGGCATTTGAGATATGATTTCCCATGAGCCTTAATTGGATTAGGGGGATCATATTAAAGATATATCGCCTATGCAATGTTTGGAGGATTACTTGGGCCTGTGTGTGTTTTTCTTTTTTTGTATCATCTTCGCTAATCCCGTTGATCAGGAAGTGCTTTAGAATAAACTGCAACCGAACAGGACAAGAAGGCAATTCCCATCTGCTGTGCGGAATGTCAAGCTTCACATTGTGACCAGTGGGAGAGGGATGTGAAGAAGTGTTACCATTGCTGAGATAA